TAACTGTTTTCTGTTGGTTGCACTTGTTCTTTATTTTCTTTTCTGTCTTCCTCTCATTTTCCACTCCCTCTGGTTTCAATCCAGGGTCCTATAAGATTCCACTGTGTCTTCTCTCCTAGCATATAAATACATACCTCTAAAAATTATTCAGAAACTGTTCTGAGTTTGCAGAAGACATTTTAACTAATCTAAGCACACTTTTAGATGGCACTAGACTGCTCGCAGGAAGGTCAGATGATACCTAATAAAGTACCCCCAAAGCTGCCTTCCTTACAGCATCCCTGGAAGTCATGTCACTTATTCACAAGAAAAAACTAACCAACATATTGTTATTATAATTACTTTGAGCCCTTATTATTAAATCAGTTAAGAAAACTAAGATAAGAATTATCTATCTTCATTTTGTAGTGTTTTTCCTTCACATTTATCTGAGTTTCTTATCTCCATCATTTTCCCTCTCTCTACACAACTTTTCCAAACATTTCTTCCGAGACAAGTCTACTGATTACAAATTCTCTCAGTTTTTGCTTGCTTGGGAAATTTTTCTTTCTCCTTCACTTCTAGAGGATAATTATACTGGATACTGGGATTGTAGGTTGGTGGATTTTCCTTTCAACATGCTAAATATTTCACTCTACTCTTCATTTCGTTCCTGAGAAGAGCGGTATATTTTTTACCCTTACTTCTCTGTAGATAATTTGAATGTGACATGCCTACATGTAGTTTTTATTTGTATTTATTGTACTTCATGTTCTCTGAGCTTTCTAAATCTATACTGTGGTATCAGTTATTTTAGAAAACTCCCAACCATTATCACTTTTAATACCTTTTTTCTCTTTTCTCCTTCTGGTATTCCCATTACTTTCATGTAACACATTTTCTAATTGTCCCACATTTTCTACATATTTTGTTCCATTTAAAGTTCTGTTTCTGTTTACATTTAAATTCAGGAAGTTTCTATGGACGAATCTTTAAGCTCACTAATTCTTTATCAGGTGTCAAAAGCATTCCTAATTTCTGTTGCAGGCAGTGTTTTTAATTTTGATGCTTAACAGTTTTCAGTTTTATATATTCTACACAGCTCTTCTTGCATATTTTCCACTTTTTCAAATAGCTCTCTTAGCATATTAATCACAGAGGTTTTAAATGTCCAGACTAACAATTCCAAAATCTTGGTCATATCTGACTCTGATTCTAAGGTTTGCTTTGACTTTTCAAATGTGTTTCTGTTTTCTTATCTTGTGGTATATCTTATAATTGTTTGTTGAAAGCTAGTTATGGTTATCAGATACTAAGAAATGAAGTGAATAGACCTTTAGCTTTTATGTTTACATGGGTGAAAGTTAGGCTGCTTTTAATGTTTACTGCCACTGTAGTATATTAGTAACTTTCCCATTATTGAACTGGACCTGACACTCCCAGCCTAAATGAGGATAGGTTTGTTTTGCATCACAGTTTCAGAGGTTTCAGTCCATGGTTAGCCAGCACTAGGTAGAAGAAACCTGCTCACCTTATGGAGGCCAGGAAGTGGAAAGAGAGGAGCCAGGGATGAGACTAGATCTAAGTTATACCCCCGGTGACCTGGCCCTTCACTCCAGGCCCCACACTTAATTGTGAGACTTTGGGGAGATAGTTTAGATCCAAACCATGACATATAGGTATATATTTCAATGTTTTCTGATGTCCTTTTTGGTTCCCCTATGGTCTTTTGGTTTTCTTAAAAATTTTTCTTTACATAAATTGTGTTTATTGGTTGTAATCCACAGTTGTTACCCTAGAGCACTGTTAATGTGGTCATAGGTACTGGAGAGTGGATATATTCTAGTTGTCTAGAATCCCTGGTCTATGACTTCCAGAAGCAACTCTACTACTAACTCCCACTTTCTTGTTATTTCCTGCACATCTTATTTACTCAGGACTGAACTTTCAGGGAATGTTGTGGTCAGTTTTTTCTCCTCATCTAGACCACTAAAATTTTCTCCATCTCTTCAATAAGTCTGTTTCACCTTCTAATTCTTGATCCTTTTGTATTTCTTACTAACATATTAATTACATGCTAATCAGGTTTAGTGTGATACTTCCATATGTGCATACAGTGTGCATTGATCACATCCAACCACCCTTTTCCCACCCTGTCTTCCTACCTGCACCTTTCTCAATCTCTAGTAATCATTACTGTATTTGTTTTTAACTTCCACATGTGGAAGAGAATAAGAGCTACTTGTCACTCTGTGTTTGGCTTATTTAAGTTAAATATAATGTCCTCCAAATTCACTCACCTTGCTACACATAACAGGATTTCATTCTTAGTTAGTGTATGTATATCACATTTTCTTTATCCATTCATCTCTGATGATTCCATTACTTAGCTATTGTCAGTAGTGCTGCAATAAATCTGGACATGCAGGTGTTTCTTTGGCTTACTGATTTCTTTTTTTTTTTTTTTTCAGTAGTGGGAATCAAACTCACGATGTCACGCTTGCCAAGCAGGCACTGTTCCACTGAGCTAAATCCCCAGCCCTTGGTTTACTGATTTCATTTCCTTTAGCTATATAACCAAGGACAGGATAGCTAGATCTTACAGCAGTCCTCTTTTTAGTCTTTTGAGGAATATCCATACTTGTTTCATAGATCCTGTCTTAGGTACTTTCTTATTGCTGAAACAAAATTCCCAACAACCACGAGTTAAAGGAGGAAAGGTTTATTTCGACCCACAGTATTTAAAGGTTTCAATCCATAGTTGGCTGACTCCAAGGTAAGGCAGCATCACAGAGGAGAAAGAATTTAGTCTGTGGTAGGCAGGAAACAATGAACAGTGAACCTTCCTTTCCCTTTTTATTCCATTCAAGCCATTAGACACTCAGTGTAACCCACACCCAGAGTGGATCTTCCCATTATCCACACCCAGAATTATGACAAACCCATCAATAGACTAATCTAATATCATACACCTAAATCTGGGTCACACACCTGTGATTCAGCCACTTCTCCAAGGCCTCAACTATAAATACATGAAGCTTTAGGCACATATCTAGGTACAGTGGAGAACAATATATAACTGATTTATATCTCCGTCAACAGTTTCAACATTTATGATTTTTTTGGTATTTTTGCCCATAGCCTTTCTATCCAGGGTGAGATGCAATGCCGCTGTAGTTTTTATTTGCATTTCCCTCATAGTGAAAGATCTTGAGCACTTTTTATAAAAATCAATTCAAAATGGACAAAAAGACCTAAATGTGGGACTACAGACTCTCAAATGACTAGAAGAAAACACAGGGGAAATACTGGCAGGCATTGGCATAGGCAAGGATTTTTCCAGTTATGCCCCTCAAAAGGACAGGGAACAAAAGCAAAAGTTAACAAGTGGAATCCCGTCAAACTGAAAAGCAGAAGAAACAACCGAATGCAGGCAAAACACAGAGATGGGGGAAATATCCGACAACTTTTCATCTGACAGAGTTAATATCCAGAATATATAAAGACCTCAACTTCACATTTAATAGATAAATAACAGTCCACTTTAGAAATCGGTAAATGATCTGAATATGCACTTCTCAAAAGAGGAAATACAAATGGAGAAGCACTTTTCGCTTTCTCCCACAATCCCTTCTTTGCCTGCACCGCTCCTCTAGCTGTTTGGGACAGGATTCCCGGCTCTCCGCCTCTGGGCTTCCTTACTCTTAACGGTCAGCCATTTCTACCTCGTGGTTTAAAGTGAGAGTACTGGGACTCTTCCTTTCCCTCGGGTGCTGAGGGCAGCCTCTCTACGCTGGGGTAGTATTTGGCTCCTGTGTCTCAGGGAAAAGACAAGTCAGCCAGACGGTGGAGCAGTCGGAGCACACGCATTCACCAGCTAAGTGCCCCGTCTTACGGAGCTGTGTTGCACGATGATTACAATGCTAACATCAGAGAGCACAGGCTGTCACAACCCGTGCAGTAATGCTGGGAAACTTGGCAATATAATGAGCATTACCAAAATCCAACTTGGGGACACAAAGTGAGCACATTTTGGGGAAAATGGCACCACCAGATTTGCACCCTGTGGGTCAAATCTTCAAAGTGTAAAAACACCACCACTTCGGCGAGCACAGAGCTATGCCTGACTAAGTATGCGCGCACAGCAAAGGGAACTTATTTGTTCAGCGTCTTCCTGAACTGCTCGATTCATCATTTCCCTTAAATGAAAAGGTCTTGCTTCCTTAATTCTGTAAATGAAATGAGGCGCTGCCTTCCGTCTGCCATCCGACAGTGCAGGCATGAATGTGATTGATACTCAGAGAACAACTTCCTTCCAGGAAGCCCCGCCTTTTCACAGTCCTGTTTCCCCTCCTCCTTGTGAACTGTACAGGCAGGTCTCAGTGATGTGTTCCTTCTGCTGAGGGGCCTTCCTGAAACTCGGAAGAGGACAGAATTCAGCGCTTCCCCTTTCTGAGCGTGTGTGTCCTTGGCTATCCTGGCGCGGATCTCAGGCAGCACCTCTGCACCCCAGGCTAAGAGCTGGAACGGCGCTGTCCAGCAAGACTTTGTGCAAGGAGAGAAAGAGTCTCCAGCCGGCACACCGGCTCCTGACAGAGGAAAGTGCCCTGGGCAAGTGAACTGCTGAGTTAGTTGTTCTTCATTCAATTACGTTTTCCTAATTTAAATCCAAATGCTGCCTATAGCTACACACTGGACAGTGGGGAGACAGGACAATGTTTCTCAAATTCTAGGTTGAGACCTCAGAACACTGCATCATAACCCGCGGCTCCGGAGATTCTTACAGATGGGAAACTTTGACAAGAATTATCTGGAGCACAATTCTCAAGCCTGCCTTCCTATGAGCTTCTCTTGGAGGAAGTCTCCAGAGAAACAGCCCCTGAGTTACACCCCAGAGATTCCGGAATGGAGAGAAAGTGGGGGAGGATGGAAGGAAGTGCGTAGGAAGAGAGGGAATGAGGGAGAAAGGAGGGAAGGAAGGAAGGAAGGAGGGAAGGGAAAGAGGGGAGGGAGGGAGGAGGGAGGGCTGGCCACCTCCCTGGACGATCAGCTCCTTGCACACAGGCCCTCCCTGCTCTGCCAGTCCCAGCGAAGGGCCCAGGGCGCGCCCTGACCCCAGCCTCCCTGGGCCTCAGCAGGCAGCGCTCCTCCGGCCTGCCGGGCTGAAGTCTGCGGGCCCAGCGGGAGGCGGTGGAGCAGCCCGGGCGCGGTGAGTACCTCGGGCCCCGGGTTCCCAGTCCCACGGATCTGCCGCTGAAGAGCCTGGTGCAGGTTCAGCACCGAGAGGGGAGGGGCGGAGGCCAAAGGGACAGCGGGTGCAGATCCAGGGCACGGATGTGAAACTGAAACCGAAATCTGCAGCCCTGGGACCTTCGCTCCTTTTGAGCGAGGGAGGGCGGCCCGGAGTTTAAAACACCAGGAAAAAAATTTACTGCCCGCTGAAACAAAAGGGGTAAAATTTAAAAAATGAACGCAGTTTGATAAATTGCAGCGGACCCTCACAGCGGAGTGAAAATAACGTTTGGTTTACCTAAAAGAAGTTTGAAACAGAAAGGAGAGTCTTGAAAGCTTTTATTTATCATAAAAATGATAATATTTGGACAGGTCAATATATGTAACCTGATTTAAACATTACACAGTGTGTGCATTTTTCAAAAAATTTCTTTTTACACCACTGATAGCATTTCTTTATCTTTTTATGTACCACTTAGAAAAGAAATTTAATAAATTTTTTAAAGAAAAAATAGCAGAGAAACTAAAAATTTAAAAAGTTGAAACCTAGATTTGTGCTTTAACACTTGCAAAAGAAAATGCTAAAGTGATAGCACTTCTTTTTTGCACAAAAATTTCTTTTATTGAAAAGTAGACTCTAACTCAAAGGTGGTGCGTGATTGCCAATACACCTGAAAGTAGGTGCCATACTTTTTCAGAGGTACCTGAGCCCGCATGAGGAAGCCCGCTGCCCACAGGTGATTACTGACCCCCGGCGGGGTCAGGCTGCGGTTCCTGAACTCTGCACCCGGCCGCAGTGCATTCTCTTCACCCAGGGCAAACTCAGGAGGGCTGTCAGTATCCCTCGCTGGAGGCTTTGCGGTAAAATAATTCCACTTTTAAAAATTAGGCATTCCCTTCGTGTGAGTATACTTATACAGGTTTCGTTTGGTTTTGCTTAATTTTAATTAAAATCGAGAAGCTCTTGGCTGACACCTGATGCCGGGGTGTATCCCATGATAGCTTCTCTAGGTGTTTCCGGGTGTCTCCTGGTTCTCTGCCCTTTGAATCTCTGCTAGCTCAGCTTAGCAGCTGTATCTGCTTGACCCTTACCCTTAACCTCTGAGCGACGGCTTAAACTTTCTTGAAACACAAAACAGTGATTTCATTGAATAGTGTTACTCTGTCAGTGTTTAAATATCCCGTGATGTCTCATCCTCAGCTATGTCCCCTTGCAAGACGCTTCCTTACCCACAGTGCATTTTGGCTTTTGTTTTTAAGTATGTGTAACATCAAATAGTGTTTACCTTACTGGAGTTTATTGCTCTGTTTAGAAGTTATTTCTATTCGCAGTTAAATTGTCCATGATAATTTCAAGTAAAATGTTTTGTAGGTAGTTGTATATTAAGTATTCACTGTAAGAACACACAAAGAATAATGTTTGGATGTTTAAATATTTACTACAACAAGGAATGGTGATTTCAGATAAAGTTTATTGAACACGCATCCAAAAAAAGTTATAACATAAATTTGGAGGGAAAAGACTAGATTGTCCTGAATTCTGTTCCAGAGAGGTTATTCCAGATGGTCAATGGGCAAAATGGGAGTCTAAATAGTATTGTGGAAAGACTGTGATAAAACCACTACCGTGCAGGCTTTTACTCTGCTGCACCTCGTGTAATTAGAGAGCTGAGCTCTGTCCACTGGGCTTCTCCGAATGGTACTTTATGGAACGCTCTGATTCTTGGTTGCTTGTGGATTGGGTCCTTTTCTCCCTAGAGGAACCAGAACTCTCCAGTCAGTGCCGCGGCGCTGTCCAGCGGCACCTTCTCGTGGATGGGAAAGTTCTCTGCTCGAATTTGTGCAGCGTCCTAGCTCCTGTTGCACGCGGCTGCTGAGCACTTGAAAGGAGCATTAGAGGAACTGAAGTTTTTTCCTTTTACATGATTTAGTTAATTTCACTGAAAACAGTGTTAATTTTTCTTCCTTCATTGTTATTCTCAGGCTCCCTGATTGCACAGCAGAAATAGTAATAGGCTGCCTCAGGTCCCTCCGGGAAATGGCGCCGTACAGCCACACACCTCTGCTGATGTTTGACCTGACGAGCTTAGTGAGGCCCATCTTCTGTCTGGTCAGCTTTTTGAAGTCATAATGAGAAAGAGTCAGCAACTACTTATGTGTTTTTGTGCTGGGGATTGAACCTAGGGCCTGGTGCATGCCACTAAGCTACTCCCCTAGCCAAGATTCATGAATTATTTAAACTGATACCTACCATGGAGGCCCTGCTGATGAAAAAATAAGGAAAGTGCTTTTACCTCTAGGGGATTCTGAGTATGCAGCCACAGCCCAACCTATTTATGTGCCTAAGCTCATGTCTGAAATGTAAGAAAAGCTTTTGCTTATCAAGCACTTAGTGGTTCTGAAAGACAGAGGGTGCTTTGGCATTTGATCGTCACAATACACAATGGAAATAAACAGAGTTCTAACCCAAAAATCTTTTCACTGAACCCACCCACCTCCACTGGAGAATTTTCCTAGAATGTAACAAAAATTGGACCCAGATCTTGGAAGAAGTTAGATTTCCAAGTTCTGAAGAAAAAGCTGGCTTTTAAAATTGTATGTTAGTGAGTTAAGAGGTTCGTTGATAGAATAAATGAACATGGTGTATAATTGCATGATGTCCAACCATCTGCAAGAAGAAATCTTAGTATACTTTTGATTAATAAATACTGGGTATTAAGCACAATCTGTCCACACATTCAGTGCTTCTCAAATTGTATCATTTTTGTTTCTTTTATCTTAGAAGCTCTTGAAAAGCACAGCAAGTCTGAAGGAAACCAGCTCTGTCTCGGACAGTGCTGGAACCATGGGCAATAACGGAACAGACCTCGACGTCGGCTACTTCTCCTCTTTCATAGCGATACTTCTGTTTGGATCAAATTTTGCACCACTTAAAAGATATGATACTGGTGATGGTAATTATTCTTCCTTCAGTATTAATTCTAAGAGTCTTTCTTCTGTCCTTTTAAAGTGATGGGTTTAAAATAAGTTTGGTGATCTGGTGCCTAGTGAATAGAGCTCAGCATAAATCAGCATTTGATAAGGCCCACGCCAGTCTCTGTGAGAGTTAGTCAGCAGAGGATAGCCCTGAAGTTGATGTTTCTTGGGAAAGCTGAGGTCAGTACTGTCAGGAAACCTTTTCTGCCATATCTGCTATGTTTATAAAAGAAGTAACTTGTAGTCAGTTCTGCTAATAACACTTGCTTTGAAGATGTATACTGATGCCTTAGAAAACAGTGTGAGCATAACCCGAAGTTTGTTCTTGCTTATGTGCAGTTGCGTCCCTAAGAAAACACCAAATGAGCACAGACTCCTGCCCTCAGAACAAGATGTGAAATAATACCCAAAGTGCACATCAGTGTGTGTGTGCACACAGGCACACATGCACGTGCATGCACATACACACACACACACTTGGTGAACTAGTGTCTTCCTCAGTTCACCACATGTGCTATGCATCACACCCACCTACATCCAGTGTCAGAACCTCAAACCACCCATTTCATAAAATTCTACAAGCTCTACACTCCCCACCCACTGCTCATGTCCAGAAGCAAACCTCAGGCCTTTCTCGAACAAAAATGCCATATTTACAGCAGCATTCGGGAGTTAAAATACTCTTTCATTTTTATTAGGTTACTACTTTCTATTTATAGATTTATTTTGCTACTGGGAATCAAACCCAGGACCTGGTACTTGCCAGGCAGGTGCTGTGTTGCTAGCTATATCCCTGGCTAGATTACTACTTTTTAAAAGACACATTACTGATGAATATTTTGGTGATTTTTTTCTGGAACTCTATCTTCCCTATAAACTCTGTGGGGATTTTTGTGTGGTATTGCATTGTTTGTTGATTTTAGGAATGTATGTATACAGCATATCAAAACTGACTGTGAGGTGATTTTGAAGAAACAAAATGCAAGAGTTATTTTTATCCATCTGTGCTCCATATCCAAGCCAGAAGAAACTGGAGGTAGGATGGTGAATATCTATTGGGAATTAAACTCCTGTTGCCAATGGTTTTATGTTCCTAATGTCCTCATACTGCTTAAACAATCGAATTACAAATCTTTTTTCTCTAGAGGCTTCCCTGTCTTTTCTTTTGGACTTGAGACAGGAAAGAAAACTGCTACAAAAACAGCAAAGAGGATAGGGATAAGCTTTCAGGTCTTTGACAATCAGCTTTGTGATGTGAGCAAGCCAGCCTGTCTCCCTCCCTCCCTTCCTCCCTCTCTCCCTCCTTTCCTTCCTTTATTTCTTCCATAGGATCTTAGATTCAGGGTCTTGGGTATAGCTGTAGTTACCACTGAGCTACACCCCCAGACCTAAGCAAATCTCATCAGCTCTTTTGCTGGCAGTTTGTAAAATGAAAGCTATGTAAAATTAAGTTCATTCTCATCTCTGTAATGCTATTTTGTTTTTTAGAGGTTAGGACCCAGGTTTTTTCTCTCTACTCTAAGAGAGTCACAATAGGCAAAAATCTTCCAAAGTTAGCGTCAGAGGTGATGAGCTGAGTTATAACTGTCTCAGTATTTCTTTCACTGTCAACCACTCTATCACTGTGATCCATAAGACTTCTCTGGTGCGGAAGCCTGGAAAGGCACGGATGCTCTCAGGTCCCCAGCGCCCTTCAGATAGCTGGTGAAGAGCAGCAGCTCCGCTCAGAAAGTCGTGTGGCTCAGGTGTGGGACATGCGGCTCACCACGAACCCTGAACCCTGCTGTGTGAGACCTGCACGTGGCCGTGACTTCATCCCTATTCAGCCATGCAGAGCTGGCATAAACGATTTGCAAAGGTTTCAGTCACAGTGTGTTACTGTGAAGCTCCTGACGCCTCCCCAGCCATGTGTGTACCAAGTGTGACATCTCAGTGGAAATATAGACTTGGTTTTGCCAACACTGAGAGGAAATTCTGAATCTGCCTGGTAGGTGGAGGGAAGAATGCTAAACTGGAATGCACAGTGCACAGGTTTAGGAGACAAACAACCTCGGTTTAGATTTCATTTTTACTCAGTGATAGTTATTAGGTCAAGTTTCTTACTCTGGAATTCATTTGCCTGTCTTTGAGGTAGGACCAATTATCACGCAGAGTGGTTGTAAGAAGAAAGTATGCAAAGGGCCTAGGGCACAGGCATGTAAGAAACTGTGCCCATTCCCATAGTGGAACCTCATCGAGAGTCCTAAGCACAAATTCACTCAGACCAATTTGGACCCCTGACACCAAGTTCTCTTATTTCCAGGAATGTTTCTTCAGTGGGTGCTTTGTGCTGCCATTTGGTTAGTTGCCTTAGTCGTCAACCTGATACTCCACTGCCCTAGGTTTTGGTCTTTTGCAATGCTTGGAGGCTGCATTTGGGCAACAGGTAATGTGTGGTCTAACTTTCTATGTAATCGTGTTATACCATGATCGGAATAACTGATTCACAATACAGAGAGTCAGAACATTCTGCATAATTCTTTGTCATAGGTAATAAAATTAACTATTTAGTTTCTTTCTTGCCAGCTCCACAGATTTTTGGTACATTTCCCGATTTTTTTCCTTTTAATGGTTTCTAAGTTCCTGAGAGAAAAGTATTATGGTCAAAATAGTTCAATGTTTCTTTTTAAGTGTAACTCTATGCTATTTTACATGTGTTGGCCCTTCTTTCCCCAGCATGTTTTGTCAGAAAATATTTACTAAATAGTAATCGCTAGCCTTGTCATTTTTAGGATATATGCTTAAAAGTAGGTGGCATAGATATATAATCATTTATTTTTTTTTTTATTTTAAGGATAAAAGGAGGGAAACATTAACAGACATACAACATTTTACAACATATCACAAGCACAAT